TTAAAGGTCAAAGAGCTTTAAAGCAGTGCAATCATTTTGAAATTTTTATCATTTACTTATTATGCTTCATTAAGTACTTATACAAAATTTTATTAAAATAAAACCATTTAAACTGGGTGTTCGGATTTATATGTCACTTAGTATATTTCTTGTATATAGTGGAGTAGATTGACTCGACACTTTATATGCACCATTTTTGTTTTTTTCTAGAATTGTAAGTTTTTTAGACACCGTAGAATTTTCAGAAACATGCAAAAGTAAAGTCGTGAAATCATTTGAAAAAGCCTATCAGTAGCATTCAAGATTCTCATACAAAAACTCGAAGAAATAGAAAGAAGAAATAAAAAGAGGAATCAAGTAGATTAACTCAGGTCTACTCACGCCACTGCATAATATTTTATTTGAAATTTCAGGTTCACGAAAATTGTAATAATAATAATACCTTATTTCAAATCCAGAATCACAAACACATAAAAAGTACAAGTGATGTAGATGTGGGACGAACGTCGCACCCATGCAAAAACTAAAGTGAGGCATTAATGTATTTACAAATACTTTAGGGCTCCAAAACACCAGTTTCTGGTTTTTTTGAAGATTCATGTACCTTCCACCGCTTTTAGATCTGTGCGTGTGTAATTATTTTGCGTTGGAAAATTGTTCCTATTTTCACTATGAACATAACACATTCATATACTAAGTGACATATTAATCCGAACACCCAGTTTAAATGGTTTTATTTTAATAAAATTTTGTATAAGTACTTAATGAAGCATAATAAGTAAATGATAAAAATTTCAAAATGATTGCACACTAGGGTAAAAGATGGGGTTCTAGAACTTCGTGGATATAACGCTGCGCGTTCATGTTACCTCTGATGAAGATTAAAGGTGACCTGGAACCATAAGCTATAGCACCCCAAACCATAACTCCAACAGTGTGATGAACATGTCTTTCAACAAAAAACTGTGGATTCCTCCTTTCACCACGTCGCCTTCTAACCCTGGCACGACCATCGTGCATGCCTAAACAAAATCGAGACTCGTCACTAAAGACAATACTGTTCCATTCCTGATCCCAGAGTGACCGTTGTCTGCACCACTCAAGGCGATTACGTCGGTGTTCTCGAGTTAAAGGGAGGACCCAGTGTGGCCGTTATGAAAACAAGCCAAAACTTCTCATTCGTCGGTAAACACTTCGCATGCCAATAGGTCGTCCGTGTTCTGCAAACCATTCATTTGCAATGGACCTGGTAGTGGAGAAACGGTCTCTTAAGGCAAATAATCTTAGGAGGCGATCTTCACGGTCTGTTGTTCGACGACGGCGTCCAGTGCCCCTTGCTCTTTGCGTACGGCCTTCTCGAAGCCATGCCTGACAACACCTAACCACAGTGTCTACACTTCTTTGCACTCTAACTGCAATTGCCCGAAAAGAAAGTCCAGCTTCCCGAAGTCCCACTATACGGCCCCTATCAAACTCACTAAGTTGACGAAATTGTACAGGTCTCCGTACTCTAGGCATCGTAACCGATCGTAAAGGATGTCAAGAACCAAAATCCGCCAACGTTGATTCTTTACTTCGGCTGAAATATTCATTTTTAGAGCGTTATTGAATTAAAAAAAAGCAGATAATAACCGGAATGTCCAACTGATATGGCTGAAAATTTTTTCACTTGTTATTTACAGTAAGATAAATACATTCAGCAACTTCTATTAAAATAAAACCATTTAAACTGGGTGTTTGGATTTATTTGTCACTTAGTATATATGTAAAATGCATATACTGTCATTAAACCCATGACTGAAATACGCATCTACATGTTCCATTAAATTTCATATGTCTCATTCCCTTTATTGGATATCAAATGATTTTTGCAGCTCTGAGATGTCTCCATACAGTATTATTCCATAACGTAGAATTCAAAATTTGCACAGTATACAATTTCTAATCATTCTGAATGTATATACCTAGACAATACTCTTATTCCATATCTGATGCTACTCACTTTCAAGGCTGTTTTATTTAAGCATCAAAATATATCAGAAATGATGTCTGATCACAAAGTTAAAAAAACGACAAATGAAGTTTTTGGCTTTTTAGAATATTCTGCCCCCAAAAAATATTTTTGAAAACTTTGAGAGATACGACAAAGCTTGTAACAAAGAAAAGCTGGGAATGTTCCGATTTTAAAAAACTTTTTCATGCTCGCATGTAGTAGTAACCTATAAATAGAGGAGCTATGGATTATCAGAAGGCAAACAGGCAGACAGACAAATTGACAGAAATTAGTAACATAATTTTTGAAATGCGTGCAATGATATTGCAACATCTAACAATTATTATATTTCAGTTCTGAGTTTTTCCGCCATTACAATAGATACTTTATCGCCGATTGTCGTGGGAAATAGAAACTCGTAAAAAAGGGGGGACCTCAAAAATATAATACAATATTACAGTAATAATGATCTGGCAGCTTGCATCACATTACTTTTACAGCAAAAATGTTGCTTTTACTTCGATATTGAGCCAAGATGTTTTAATAGTTTTCTATCTGCGATAAAATCACCATCTATGTCGCTGGATGCACTTATCACCGATCGTAATCAACCGATGTTGTCAATGAATGTAAATGAATCGAATATGTTGCTGTAAGCGGCGACTTATGAAGTAAAGATGGGCGATGGCATAGCAAGGCAAGAGGAGGCATCGCTCTGTGCCTGTTGGCTGTTGTTTCCGGGTTGAAAGGACTCGAAGAAAAAGGAAGATCGTTTCAGTGCAGACCATAGGCGCCTCCATCCATGATAATGTATAAAACCAGCGAAACCACAAAGACGTATAGTATGGTTATTTTGTATTCCTGTGAATCTATCGATTTGAAATAGTAGGTTTTTTGGAGTCAAGGGTAATCTTACTATGCATGAACATGAACATTTTCGAATATGTTTCTGTCTGTTCTACTATTCGTCATTTATTTGTCTGGGCGGTCCGTAGGACCTTTGCCCATTAGTCACTGTCTGATGTACGTTAGTCGAATCTGTCAGTCCTGGTTGCCCAGAAACCAGACAAAGTCAAGGAAAAAGAGAAAGGTTAAGAGAAGAAAAAAGGAGAAGAACAAAGAAAAACAGATATGCTTAGTTAAAGAGGAAACACCTAGGCTTTTTGACTTGGTACACGGATTAATTTTGAGGTGAACTAAACAAATTTTTGATTCGGTTTTGTTAGAGTGTAATTTTGAGTTTACTAAAGATTCACGCTAACTTTTGATTACAGTGCGAGCCGTGGCCTTGAATGTTTACGAACTCGCTCCACTGTGTAGTCCACTGAGTTACTCAACAGAGGGTTGCTGTGCGATTCCGCTTGACTATAACGTCGCTGCGCCTGAAGCTTGACAGAATCCCTCAAGTAAGGAATGTCAAGGTCTCTGTGTAGTGTCTCATTTGAGACATACCATGGAGCGTTGCAAATTGTCCGCAAAGTTCTGCTTTGCAGTACTTGAAGACTTTGCATGCGTGTCTTGGCAAGAAAACACCAAGCCGCACATGCATAAGTAATGGCTGGTCTAATAGTCATTTTATATAGTCGAACTTTGTTTATCAAACTCAATTTGGAGGATCTAGAACCAGTACTTTCCTGCTGGGTGGAAGACTGCTGAGGTCATCATGATTCCAAAGAAGGTGGGTTCGATATTTCCTCAGGATTACCGTCCCATAAGTCTGCTGTCAGCTCCTTCTAAGCTCGCCGAAAAGGTGATTTATCGTCACCTTGAGAATTTTTCGTCAAATCACCATGTGATTCCTGACGTCCAATTCGGTTTTCGGTCCGAGCATAGCGCCGAGCTACAGGCAGTCAGGCTGGTGGAGCATGTAACCAGAGGGTTCACCCTTAGCAAGAGTACTGGCATCTTGCTTTTGGATGTCTCAAAAGCCTTTGACAAGGTGTGGCACGCGGGCCTCCTCTATAAACTAATCCAAAAGGGTTTTCCTTTTTGGCTTCTAAAATTACTGAAATCCTTTCTTGAAGGAAGGAAGTTTCGGATCAAAATTAACAATGTTTTGTCAACAACACGGCGAGTACGGGCCGGTGTTCCTCAGGGTTCAGTCCTAGGACCAATTCTTTATTCGCTTTTCATCCATGATGTCCCTTCCCCCAGCAACTGTGAAGTCTACCTCTATGCTGACGACATTGCACTTGTCGCCCAGTCGTGTACTGGTGATCTGGTTCACGATGGGTTGCAGAATGCGGTGGACGAAGTTCTAGAGTGGGCGGAACGGTGGCTGATAAAAATTAATCATTCGAAAACGCAGGCTATTTATTGTACCAAAAAACGTCGCGGCCCCCCAGCAGAGGTTTCTGTAGACGGAAATCGAGTACCATGGACAAATTCTGCCAAGTATCTCGGTGTCACCCTTGATAAAGGCATGACCTGGCAGAAACATACAGCATCCATAAAAACAAAATTCCAAAGAGAGCTAAATGATCTCCCGGATTAAGCAACGTTTCCTGCAGCAAGGCCACATCTATACCTTCATCCAAAAGAGCTTGATGAAATTCCCGTTTTTTGGGAATATCCCTCATGCCCAAACAATTCCAAAAAAGAATTTTGATGAATGCAGGCTGTCTACTATGGTACCTAGACATGTACAGGAAATATCGCCTGCAACGCTTGGGTAGCGCTAATCAGTGGGCTTATTATTTGTTATAAGGACCTTAGCGCGGTTGCCAGGTCCACATTTTGCGTGCTCAAGGGAGGTTGGGCAGAGGGGGCAGGCAAGGTTGCCTCCCGAGCTGCGTCCGCGTATGATATATTGCGCCTTTGCGCTATAACTTGCAAGTTCCTCCTTGGAGTGAACTTGCAAGTCCGGCTATTTGCGGGATGTCCCTCTCCATAGTTCGCGCACTTGCGTTCTTCCTCTTCTGTGAGGGGGCACAAATGCGTCATGTGGTCCTTTGCACATTTTAAGCATTTGGGCGGTGCAGTGCAATATGACTGCGCATGCCCATACTTTTGGCAGCGGTGACACTGCCCAATGAGTCTGGAGTTCTTCTGAACCTCAACTCGAATGGCCAGTCCCAGCAGTTCGTGTTCGTTGAACACTTGCTGAGACTTTTCAGTCTTGGGCAGTATCACGACCACCAAAGGCATGGGCGCGCCGCCGCTGCGCTTCAATCGAATGATGTGAAGAGGGCTATATCCCCTCTGCTCCAGTTCTCCCTTAATCTCAGTATCCGAAAAGTTGACGGGAACTCCTCGAACCACCGCATGGATGTTCCGTTCCGAAGGGAGAGGAAAAGTGTGATGGGGCACTTCTTCCTCTCGGAATAGGCGAACGATCTTACGGTAGTCGTCCTCGGATTTAGGAATAATCCTTATTCCCGCATCGACGGCAACCGCGCGATCTATTTTAATACCTAGGGAAATAAACTTGAAATTTAAAGTACGCCATCTCGTCCCGTCGCGTAAGACGATCGGAGTTATGCGCCCTTGTCGTGAGGGTTGGGTTGATGTCACGACGGTTGGACGAGATGACGGAGGAGAAGTAAGATCGGCCGACGGAGTCACCTGACAGGTAGATAACGTGGTCCCTGGCTTGGTAATAGAAGCATTAATAGTGTTTCGATTTGATGAATTGGGGGAGGTGTGAAATGGAATTGATCCTGTATTCGGAAGAGGAGGAAAGTCTTGGGTTGATCGATCAGCCTTGTCGCCTTTCCTCCTTCTTGATTTTGCTTTTACAAATCCTTCAGTCTGTACGTCTTCGTCTGTGGATGTGAGATGATCATCGGAAACGTTTCTCAGTGGTCTTTTTAGGGTCTTTGTCCGTTCTTTAGGGGATTCTTTTGAATTTAGTAATATGGTTACCTGGGCGGTAAGGCTGTCAATTTTGGCTGTCTGGTCCTTGATGGTCTCCATTAGGTCTCGAATCTGCCTCGCCTGGTCGTCTATAATCAGCATCAGTTTTTCGATCGTTTTCTGCTCCGATGACATCTGCGTCAGTGAGCTCGTGTTTTCTGCTTGTGCTTGGTTTCCGCCACCGCTCAGCTCTTTCCTCATAGTATGTGGAACTGCGTCGTCTGTTGATCCTCCTGGGTCAACTTCCATCTTTTAAAAACTTTTTCTCGCCAACAAATCTCAGAAAACTTATAGCTCGCAAATGTGACAATGCTGTCAAAACCCTTTTCTGTTCTTTGCTGCGTTTGTCACCAATTCATTTCAGTAATTGCTGCATTATACAGGGTGGCTGCGAAAGGTTGGGAATTCTCGAAACTGGAGATACAACAGACCAAAATATGTGAATTGACCTAAATATAACTTACTCCATAAGTTGATAATTTGCGAGATCAAAGTTCCGATTTTATTTTCTATATTTTTTTCATTGCTTATTTTCTTGTATTTCCACAACAAAAAAGGTTTACTTGTTAGAAGTATCTTAAGCTAATAGTTTTCGAGATATTTGTTTTTAAAAGTTCCAATGCATTATTTGTACCATGATGATAAAACATATTTATAACATAATAATCAGGTTGCTTTGGATAATATCTGAGTAGCGTTGCTATGGTTTTTAACAATAACAAATGAGGATATCAACAAAACTAATAAACAGAGCTCGACAAACTAATCCTTGCTGCACTCTCCAAAGCATTTGGATGTTATTTTTCATTTCCTAACTATGGTGGAAAATTCTTTGTGAAACATCATGCAGCTTCACTGCTTACACAGATTTTTAATAGCAGTTTCATGTCAAATCCTCATCAAAATCTGACCGATTCATTTGGAACTATGGAGGGGTCATGAATTAGTAAATATACAAATACACTGAAGGAAATGCAATTAAAATACTTCCGCGCGAATTGACATGGGAAGATTTTCTGAATGTAGTCTAGCACCCTTCGCCTTTTTGAAACAAGTCCTCGAAATATTTGCTATACAGGGTAAATGATTCAATTTTTTTAAAATATTTCAGATCCGTTAATACATCTCATATCTATTTAAATGTTTACTCTTGAACTTATTAATGATGACTATTCCTTTCCCGATCATGCTAAAGTATCAATATCCTTCATACTTACCATAACGGTTTATTGTCTCTTATTGAACTTTCTATATCTGATTTTGCAATATTCTGCAAAAAAAAGTACGATAATTATCATTTGTATATCTAAGTTTTTTGTCGTACAATACGCATAAATACAGAGTAATATTATGCAGATCAGCCGCCAGTCGTTGACCAATTCAGGAAAGTGCTGTCAGCTCTATCGTGTCTACAATAAATAAAAACGCTGAAGTTCATTTGAATATATGAATGTTCGTTTGGCGCAGTTTACATGTATATCGACATAAAAATTAATTATCGACGCTCGACCTTTTGAACACATTGCTATATTCGCTAAACTGTTATTAGTTATTATAAAGAACGCTGTAAAAACGGAATTGCAGTTCAAATACACTGCGCATCGAAATTAGCGTTTGCTACATCCAAAGTTGCTCCTCAATTCACTTTATGAGCCTCCATATTCCTCTTTGTTCAGATACGGCATGGGTATCATGTAAAAAACCTGTAAAACGTAAAAAAAACCTATAAGATGTCATCTTGCAAACTAGGTAGTTTTTAGGGGGCAAACAGTCATTCCACGTTTGCTCACTTGGAAGAAAGAAATGGTTCTTATCTGTAGTTTTTATCTCTGAAAAGAGAGTTGGTTGAATAGCAATATCGCATCTGGATGATTATGTATATATATATATATATATTATATACATAAATGAGGAACAAAAACAGATGTTAACAACTACAGGCCAATATCAATAATATCCAGTGTAGCAAAGGTTTTTGAAGAAGTTTTATCTACTAGAATGATTCGATACCTCACAAAATTCAAAATTTTAAGTGAAAATCAATATGGATTTACAGAAGGGAAGGCTACATCGGACGCAATAACTAAAATTGTAAATCAAATACATCAAAATATTGATAACAGAATCCCTTCAATCTGCATTTTTGTTGATTTAAAGAAAGCTTTCGACACAGTTAATCACAAATTATTATTAGAAGCATTGGAGAGAATTAGTTTCAGAGGAAACGCGTACTCACTGATCGAAAGTTATTTGTCAAATCGCCCACAATCTATGCAGATATCAGGATCATTTAGTAAAGAAATGTATATTAAGTGTGGTGTCCCACAAGGAACTGTCTTAGGTCCGCTGTTATTCAATATATATTTAAATGATATTTTCCAAATTAATTGTGTTGTCAAAATAACTATTTTTGCAGATGATACTGCAATATTATATGGAGGCACTGACTGGTCTGATCTGAAAAATGTAATTGAAAATGATTTTATCAAAATTATTCGGTGGTTTAACAGTAGAAAATTAAGCATTAACTACTCTAAAACACATTTTTTACCATTTGGATCTTATGCTAGACATCTGCCAAATTACACAAATTTCTCCTTCAATATTAATGATCAAAAAATGCAAATTAATAGAGTGCCCAACATAAAATACCTTGGAGTGGTCTTGGATCCTCACTTACGATGGGACATCCATGTCAATTATATTTTAAAGAAAGTTAGATTTGTATCCTACAAAATTAAATACCTTGGGAATATATTGACAGAAAAATATCTTCGAACATTATACCACGCACTGATTGAGCCTCATCTCACATATGGTATATTAGCATGGGGAGCTGCATGTTCCTCACATATCTATAATTTAGATGTTTTTCAAAAAAGTATTCTAAAAATGATATTTAAAAAACCGAAACTTTATCCCACTGAAAAATTATACGCAGATGTTCGAATGTATGATATAAGACAGCTTTATTTCTTACACAGTATCACTCACTACCATAAATTTGTAAACACCGAACAAAAAATTAAACATAATCATTATACCAGGTACAAAATTCGTGGCACAGTAGTTCCTCAACCGCATAAATCTATAATGCAGCGATCATATCTCTATTTAGCGCCTAAATTTTATGAAATTATACCTAAAGACTTAAAAGATTTACGTTTCGGAAATTGTTTCAAAAGAAATTTAAAAAAGTGGCTACATTCTATATCTAGGACTGAAATTCATAAACTCATAAATACGAACATCAACTAAATACATACTCTACTGTAGCTAATTTTTGTCCTTTTTTGTCATTTGCATTCTACAGTTTCAACTTAAATTTATTGGTCCATGTACAGGCGATGCCTTCTATTGGGCCTGTTTTGATTTTATATTTATTTACACATATTGTTTGTTATCTTTGTACATTGAGTGAATAAATATTATTTTTATTATTATTATGTGTATTGGTCTGAATGTGTATAAAATTAGTGATATTTGTGAGAAAATCATTACTGAATATGCTGCCAATGCTGTGCTTTCTGAAGAGAGATTATGTTCAAAGTTATAAATTACGAAAAACTGAGGAGAATTACGGGAAATCATCACGGCGCCCGCGTTGTGTGTAATTACTGTTAGCATGTATATGGCTTGTAATTCGACAGTGTACAGTGAATATAATTATTTCTTATTTCTCTCATTTTTGAAATTCAGCTAATTTGTATAATATGTAATTTCCAGAATGGATAAGTGGATGCGCAACTAATTTCTAGCTTTGAATCTCAATTATGTGTATTTGAGACAAGAACCCAATGTAATTATCATCAACACATACAACTTACAACTTAGGCCTCCAGTAATGCCATCTCAGAAACAGATTTTACATCACATCAGAGCCAAACATTGATAACTGAAGCCTCATGATGTTTATGCAACTCGTACAACTAAGTGCTAAGTTAATATCTTGTAGAAAAACCTACGTAATGTCAAAAAAACAACATAATGTCAAAAAAAATCGGCATAATGTCACTTTTCAAGTTACGTGTGCGGGTCTAGATACTATCTTTTTAGAGTATTTTCTCGAAGACAAAAAGTGCGGCAATTAATACGCTATTTGAACGCCTGCTAGGTAAGAAAGATAAGTAAAAATAGGACTAACTTAACTTTGATCTCCTTCAACACTTTTAGTATGAACGTTTTATAGAAATGCTATTGAGTCTAATACAAAGTTTTTCATGCATTGTCCTTTTGTATTCAGAGTGGGGATCTCAAATAAATGTCCGTACATTCTTAGTGAAAATTGGACCCCGTTACGCAACAAGAAAGTAACCGACAACATGGTAATTTTGAGAAAATAAAAATTATTATTGATGCTACATCTATGTATTCATATAACAAACCACGTTATGTGAATATAAAACCAGAACATTTATCCTCAGTAATAATAAAACCGATGTTTTGAATATAGATATAATATTAAACTCACATAAAGTTGAAATCTCATTTCCACT